GCGGCTGTGACCAGCTCCGTGGGGGTAAACACAACAAACAGGTTTCCTGCTTGTGTGTTTAGGTTTCGATTGTGTTTTCTAAACTGTGACTGAAGCGGTAGGTCGTTGTTAGTGTTCCACGGCGTTTCTCGGTCGTAGCCCACATGCTGCCATGCCCCGAATGCACATGCACCCCCTCCCCATTTTCTCTCAGGTCATTAGCCCCGAGAAGACGGAGCCCACCGTGAGCCCCGAGGGAATCCAGATGGAGTTGGACGAGGAGATGGAGAATGACATTTGTAAAGTGTGGGACATGTCGATGGATGAGGTAGGAGTGATGTGTAGAAGTAGATCTCGAGGGTGGTTCACAGCTGCGGGTGGCTTCTGCCCTGTGTGTTCATTCGGAGCCCTTCTGGAAGTGGGAGAAGGCACAGAATTATATGGACTCGGTCAGCTTTCTGATTTTGATGGTATTGATTATTCTCTTCTGGCTGACAGTGTGCTGTGAGTCATTATGCAGTGCAGGTGAGGTGAACTGGGATCAAGTGCGCTCATCACAAAGGTTGCTTTACAAGATACGCAAGTATGTTGTGTGCACTTTTAAACCCAGCACTAGTTTGCAGAAGCAGGCCTTCTGTTGTGTCCTAGATGCTGGGCCTCATGCTGCTGTTTGAGGATGTAAAGCAGAACTATGTTTGAATATAAAAGAAACAAGGTGGTCTGTCCCATCTTCCCTCCAGGTGTCTAATGGATCCTGTGGTGCTGTTGTTTAGGGTCAGCTGGCTTAAATGGGGCTGTGTTCACACTTGTTGATGTTCTACGGAAAATCATGGTCAGGAGTTGAATCAAAGCTCAGTGTAATTAGAAAACCTTAGCTGTAGCAGAAATTAACTCAGGTGCATAGCCTGTATCTTCAGCAGTTTGATTATAGAGATAATATTGATGCCATCTCTAAATAGGCATATTTTTCCTCTAGCAATTGTAATGCATCCTGCTGGTAAGCATAGTTTCCTCTGAATGATAAACAACCTTTTAAAGTTTAGCTAGAGACTTGTAGTGGCACTGTAACATAACTTTTTGGTATTTTTTCCCAACATTCTCAGATGCTGGAACCAATTCTCAAGTAAGAGATACATGTATATGTGTAATTATTATTTTATTTCCTAGCTCTTTGGATATTTCAAATAAATGTGGAAGATGTTTCCTTTGCTCACAAATAGAGAACTAATCTTGTGTTTTAATGTGGTAAGATGCGAAGCAGATTTACTCTTTCGTATGGTTTGATCAAATATTAATGGTGATCCCTACCCTGGTTTCTTTCTGTATGTCTGTGTCATGTCACTGTCTGAAAACATGGTATTTGCTGAATTCTGAGTTGGTGTCTCTGACCTGTTGAGACAGAGAGGAAAAGACATTAAATGTGGCTTTTTGGCCCTTTGTGTAGCAAATCACTGGCACCCTGATTCACCACAGGGGCTGGCTGGTCTTCTCTCATTGAAAAGCAAGGATTATTGGTATTAACTGTTGTGAAAGAACTGATCTCTTTTAGTGAGTTTAACATCCCATCCAGTCCTTGTGCGGCGAGAAAAGGTTTGATTTTGTGTTTGGAAAATGCAGAAGTCCATTTACTTCTTCGTTCACTTTCTCCACAGGACGTCGCTTTATTTCTTCAGGAGTTCAATGCCCCTGATATATTCATGGGAATTTTTGCCAAGTCAAAATGCCCTCGCCTTACTGTAAGTATGGGCTGTCAAAAAGCTGTCCCATATTAATAGCAGTAGTAGATAGTTCTGTACATGCATTTGCACATAGCTCCCTCCTCCTCCCACTGCGTGTTTGAATACATTAGGGGAACAAGAAGAAAATGCAAAATCAAATTTTAAAATTCTTTTTTTTGCAGTATTTTTAGTACAGTCTAATCAGTAAGTATTTCAGTGATGCTGAAGCTGGTGTATGTCATTATCATGAAGGACTAAGTTCATGAAACCTGGTTATAAGGCTTGTTGTAAGACTCCGTAAAGATTGCCCTTTTTTTTCCTCATTACTTGTTTCAAGATCACTGAACAGAACTGGTCTTGGATTTGTTTAGTCAGACCTACTGAAGTATGGTGGGTTGACCCTGGCTGGACACCAGGTGCCCACCAAAGCTGCATTATCACTCCCCTCCTCAGCTGGACAGAGGGAGAAAAGTATGGTAAAAAGGTTCATGGGTTGAGGTAAGGTCAGGGAGATCACTCTGCAGTTACTGTCACCGACAAGACAAGACTCAAGGAAATTAGTTAATTTATTATCAATCAAATCAGAGTAAGGTAATAAGAAGTAAAGCCAAATCTCAAAATACCTTCCTCCACCCTCCCTTCTTCCTGGGCTTGACTTTACTCCTGGTTTCTCTCCCTGCTCCCACCCCAAGCAGTGAAGGTGGATGCGAATAGGGGTTGCGGTCAGTTCC